GATTCCGGTAATGAACAGAAGAACACTTTATTTCAACAAAAAAATACACATACACAACTTAAAAAATGTCTCAATGGTATAATCAATGAAATAGTTAATCAAGAAATTATTGAACAATGTCTAAATGAATTAATTGATATAATATCAATTGTCGATGAATTAGTTGAAGACACTACATTTATTATAATAACACAAAAAGAAGATTTAATATTTGTACAAGATTCAACTAATGATAATTTCGATGATAATAACGTTCTAGATAAAAAAGAATCTATGTCATCTACAACTGAGTCACATCAGGAAAATATTCAAATGAATATATCAAATGATGAATTAATACCAGTAATCAATATTGATAATGTAACAATTGTAAATTCTGATCAAGAAAATATTCCTATAAATATAATGCATGATGACTTATCGAAGTTGACGAATATCGTCGAGACACTAAGCAATCATTCTGATTCAAATGAAAATCATTCGATTACATCCGAAATTATTACTAAAACATCTCCAAATGAACTTGAAGATTCATTTGATGAATTCAAAATATTGAACATTCCAACAAATCGATCATTTGAAAAACCTCTAGAAAAATTAACAGATTATACTGAATTTCGTGAATTTATATCAAAAATTCAAGACGATACAGATACAGATGATGAAATATTACCACCGAAACAAAATACCATTATATTAGATGAGAATGTCAACAATATCTCTGAACAGTTGAATATACCAAATAGTAGCAAACAAGAGCATTTAACATCTTTACCAATATCAATTCCGAATGAAATTCAAGAAGAAAGCAGTAATGAATCTCCAACAAATATTGAGTCAACAATTAATGAATTGTTAAGTGATGAAATAAATAATGATACTTTCGTATCAATTGATTCAAAACTAATTGAACAAAAAAGATTTTCTATTGTAAATTGTCATTCAATTCCACTCGGAACAAAAATTTATCATATAAATTGTTCATCAACTTATATTTATATTTGTACTAATGAACGAAAAATATTCTATGCTAAATTCAATATTGATAATATGAATATACCACTTCAATGGATACAACATTCTGATCTAGCCGAACGAATTGTTGTTAGTAATAGTAATCGAACAGTATGGCGTCTTTTTAATAAATGTCTCTATTCATCTATTGATCCAATTAAATTTCCACCAATTGGTTCTCATTGGAATCAAATAAAAATTGACAATGGACAATCATTATTAAGTATGTCAATTAATGATCAATGTGGATGGTATGTAAAGACAAAATTCTTTCATAATACATATTGCACCTTTATTCGCACTATCATCGGTATACTGCGATACGTATAAGTACCGGCAATAGATTTCGATCGGAGAACAACTATCGGTATATCACGATAGAATAACGGTTGATGGTTGATATACCGACGGTTTTTGTCCGATTTGAATCACATAGGAAGAATATTTATATTTTCTTTTTAAAGGTATGTTAAAGACGACGGTACATTATGGTTAATACGAACAGTTAATAAATCTTATGAATCAATAAATGTAACATGTCCATTTAATCTGAATAAAGTTTTTTGTTTCTCGGAAAAAGTTGCTGTTACAACAAATGATGGAGAAATATTAGTACGTGTTGGATGTACAGATGATTGTCTTGAAGGCGATGGATGGATTTTTATTGAACATAAGTATGAATACAAAAAAGAAAAACTTTTGATTTTAAGAACATTTAAAATATTTTAGTTTTGGTCCAATTGATGATTTTATATTATTAACAAATAATAATATCATATGTATTGTGGATAAGAAACATCATTTATGGATACATCAATGGTCATCTAATGAAGGATTCTTTGAAATTTTATGTAATGATGAATTTTTAATGTTTCATCAACGATATTTAATTTGTGTTAATTCAAAATTATTATGTTTTACTGATTGTGAAAAACAAATTCATATTTTTTCAGATTCTTTAACTGGTAAATTATTATATCAAGTAATTTTTCAAGAATTATAGCTTGTGTTTTTCTGTTCAGGTATACAATGGAAATTAATTGAAAAGAATACTCGTTTACAACGTTTAATTGGAGCTTTTTCAAATGAAAGTTTGTATTAATTTTTTTGTTTTTTTTTTGTTTTCTTCTATTTTACGTTTTCTTTAGATTTTGTTTGGGCATTAACAACAGACAAAATGATTTGTTCATCAAATGGTCAAATACTTGAAAAACCACGTCAAGCTCAATATTTAACACATGCAACATTTGTTCCAGATAATTCTTCTGAAGGTAAACAATTCACTATTTATTATATTTTTATTCTTATTTCATATCCATTCGATTAGGTACTATTCTTTGGTCACTTGATGAATCATGTAATATTTATGTACGAGCTAATGTTGAGACAAATACAAAATGGGAACAATTAGATCAAAGTCAATTTGGTGAGAAAAAATAAATTTTTAATAAATGAATTTGCTTCAATTGAATATTTTTTGTTTTGTTTTAGAATGGAATCGAAGGTTAGTTCATATCGTATGTAATGATGTTGGTGTTTGGGCAGTTGATGATCACGGTTATATTCATTTTCGTCATGGTCATATCTCTGCTAGTGATGATGTGTATTTAAATGAATTCTCAGTATTACCTCCAGCTTGGATTCCTATACCTGGTGAACCACAAAGATATCGAAGTTTTTCACAAATATATTGTGGACCAGTTGATTGGATGGTAATTTATAATGATTGTTCTTTTGTTCTTTCAAACAATCAATCGAATGATAGTCTTAGATAATTTATAAAGAATACTAGAGATTGAATCGATATTTCACTGACATATCGAGACTAATTCTCGTATGTTTCATTAGCAATTTCTCAATGGGAAACTTCGAGATTGTATACTTCATTATTGAATTCCTTTCGATCATCTATATTCGTGAGTTTTGTTTCGATGATCATTTCTTACGTTCACTCTTTCTGAATATTTTATCATCTTAGAATATCGTTGATAGCTTCGATCATCGAAATAATAGTTCGTCGATATGAGTTCTAACGAAGGGCATGTTGAGCAAACTAAGGAGGAAAAGTACAACTCACACTTAGTGTCAAATCATTCAAATAGTGGAAGATTTCAATGTTTATTTTTTGATATATTATTTATCGTTGTGATAAGATGTGGATAGATGTGTAGAAAATAGATAACATGAATACATACACACATAATCCATTACACTGATAAACAATATATGAAAAACTAAAAGTTGAAATACTCAACTATTTAAATGATTTCGCACCAACCGTGCTACAAAAGAAATGACAGAGGATTTTTAATATATGAAATATTGACTAGTACTTCTTTTTTTTCAGTCAGAAAAGATATTGCAACGTTTTGTCTTTGTGACAAAAAGTCCGGTCACCGTCCGATTTCTATGAATAGTTGGTGCACCATGTAGTGCTCATCAGAACGCTATAACTATAGGATAATCTAAATTTATACTGCTTAGCACTACACCATCTTACTGAAATAGTACACAGTGCACTAACTATTCGTAGAAATACAATTTTTTTTGAAGATTAATGAAGTAAACATGAGTTTAGGACGAAAATTCCGATTGATTGTTTGATATTCTATCAACTATAGACTTGATCTATGGCTGAATTTGATGCAATGCGAGTATGGATCTTTTCTTCACCCACACTCGAACATTTCATTTTTGATATTTTTACAAATAACGCTCATCAAGATTCGATTCACTTGGCTCTAGACTGACGGGATAGATATATGCATATAGATGCATCCAGATATGAACGTATATTAATTAAAGCACGAGATAAATGTGAGAGTTGATAAGGTATATAATCGCAATTCGTTTCACAAAGCTAAGTTTCTCGATTGTTGCACTGTTACAATTCTATTCGCTTTTATTCTTTCATACTCTCTTCTTAAAACTTTATTTGTAGTTTCAAATGAAAATTGAGTACAGTGAATCAAAAATTTCTTTCTATTGTTTCAATATTCTGATTAAAAAATTTTTTTCATCATTCATATCATTCTATGTCTTCTCTTCATGTTTGGTATAAAACTTGTGTTATGTATTTATTGATTTATAAAGATAACATAGAAATCAATACAGTTGAAATCGATATCACATTATTCAACTAATGTGAATTTAGTTTATCATAATCTTGTATTCAGACTTACTCTCTCATAACTCTTAGTAATTATTACCGCTCACCTTTATATATGTATCGTTGAACAACCGATTACATCATTCAATAGTTTAATAACAATATTCATGACTTCTAAAAGCATCCAAAATTAAACACACAAGCTCATAAACGGCCGTCGATTATCGTATATTGACGTGCTACATGACTCAGTATTACGATCGTATTTCTTTGTATCGCAAACCAAGAAATACGATCGTTTACTGATTTAAATATAATCGTTTATGAAGTCCTTATACGAAAATAGTATACGATTTTCGTCGTATTCTGTATCTCGCTGTCAACGATCGTATTTCTCTGTATGCGATACAAAGAAATACGATCGGTAACCCTAAGCTATGTAATAAACCAAAATACGATTGTATACGGTAAAATGTTGAGTGTATACAGATTTCGTATTCTTCGCCCTCGAATATTACTCCTCGATTAATTTGAATCCTAATGCATAGGTGCCCTTTTTTTGCCATTCTACACAGTCATTCGCCCAGATCAATCATAATCTATCACAGTCAATTACCGTAAACGACCATTTTTATACTGTCATCACACGTCCAGTATTAGTGGTCGTATACTATATCATATTCTCACCGTAAAACGCCATAAAGATGTAATGTTGCCGTATTCCATCATACATACGGGCTTATTACTAGTCATGTATTTACGAAGAAATACGAGTCCCATTAACGCATTGTATTCCACTGTAAACGGTCGTATTCTTCGAGCAGGATATGCCATAGCTATTAGATGATCATTTGAACCATAGTTAGAACCCGTTGGGTCCAGAATTTTCGAACCGAATCCGATTGAATCATACTTTGATATTCTCAATGAAATTTTCTAATCGAAATTGGATAGTTGTCCTGAAGATAAGAGATCTTTTTTTTCGAATTTTTGGATTTGGTGACTAATGCACTCTACAAATTTCTCAAACGACTACAGTTCATTGGATTCAAGATTTTCGGACTCAGATTCGGAACTAATTTAACGGTCTCTAACCATAGTTACCATACAGTACCTATGTTACAAACACAGGCAAATTCTCGTTTCTAGATCTTATCCTTTCAGTCTATGAAATACAAGGTTGTAAATACTTTTCATCAGTCTAATATGATTATTCTATACGAGATAAAATATTCCTACAATATGATGAACAGATTTCATCAATATAGGTTCTTTTTTGTCTATTCATAGGTTTATGCCACCGATAATAAACAAACTATTTATGCTCGAATTGGTATTAACGAAGAAAATTGTATTGGAACATCATGGAAAGCTTTTGAAGGTAAATAATTATTTTTCGAAATGAATAAATCTTTAGTGTTTCTTTCTAATAGATTGTTCAGCTCTTGAATTAGCTATTAGTGAACATACATTATGGTTATTAACAAGTCGTGGACAAATTCAATGTCGTGAAAATATTTCTATAACAAATCCAATTGGAACACGATCAACAACATTACCTGGTCGTTTTCTTTCACTTACTGGTATGTATAGCAAAAAAAAAATATGAATGATTCTTTATTTTTTGTGAATATAAATTTTTCTTTATCATTTAGTTTCCGTAGATGATAGTCAAGTATGGGCACTTGATTCTAAACGTAATTTACTAAAACTTGATCGATTAACTATTTTATTTGAAAAATAAAGGTGTTCAGTATTTTATTTCTTTTTTTGCTAAAAGGTATATATATGTTAAAGAAAAAAAAAAGGGAATATGAAAGACAATTGTTCGATTTACGATGAACGTAACCAGGGAAATTTTTCAATTTTTGATGAATCAGGAAATACATAACTAAAATCAAAAACAAAAAAAATATTAAAAATCGATAAAATTAAAAATAAATATACCTGCGTGTATATTCACTATTAAATGAATCAGGCACAAGACGAGCTAATGGTCGACCTGGTAATGTATAATCAGGTTGAGGATTAATTATAAATGGAGAATATGGTAATTCTTCAGGTTTTTTATATCGATCCATAAATTCAGTTTCACCTGGAAATGTTAAATTAATACCTGCTTTACGAACTTCATTATTATAATCATTATCATAAACGTATGATCGTGAACAAAAGTTTGGTGTTGTACTTGGACGATTTAATCCTATTCGAAAGAAGAGAAAAAAAACCTAGATAAATTAACATAATTTCTTATATAAACAAGATACCCGTTGTTTGTGTTGGTCGTAAATAACCAAGAAGTTTTTGATTATTATTCGTTGTTTGTTCATTCGATGTTGTTGTTGTTGCTGATGGACCATAATCTAAATATAAAAATATAATTTTCATAACAAATAATTTCTCATTTGTTGGTTTTTTTTAAATACGTCGATAAGCATGAACCCAAGCTTTCCAATCTGGTGTTGATTGTTGTTGAGAACATGTTTTTGCACGAGGAAATTTTCGATCAGCCCATACTGTATGAACATTTAATGGTTGATTTCCATTACGAGTTAAATTATTTCGATAACCAATATAACGATCAGTAACGCCAAGATGATGAGCTATATTATCTAATCGAGCATAAGAACCTAATGCATATGGTTGAAGTGCCTAAAATATAAAAAATCTTGATGATTTAATAAATCATGAAAAAAATAGAAAATAAATATCTACTTGAAGATATTCAAGCAATGTATTACATGTCCAACTATTTAATTCTCGTATTTGATTTTCTTCTTTATTTTTAACTGTAGTTGTATGTAGACAAGTATTAAGTTCTTGAGTAAGGCTACGTCCTTTTGCAATTAATTGTTGAACATCTAAGAAAAAAAAACAAAAGAAAAATCTTTTTCGGTTTTTTTTTTCGATCTTGTAACCCCAAATTCTCTATGTTGGAAAGAGCATGTCAAGATGCAGGATATGATAGAGTCCCTTTTTTTGAATTAAGACTTATTATTGTTATTATTATTATATAAAAGAGTACTTTTATAACTCGGAGCGCCGTTTTTTTCGAGGCATTGAAATTTTCTCCGCTTAAAAAGTAAGAATTAAAAAGAAAACAGAGTTCTTTCATTCTTTGCATTCTGACATGTTCTTTCAAATGAGTTATTTTTGACACTTGTTTATTAAATATCTTCTAAAAACATCATCATATAATGTTGAAAATTTTACCATAGCTTGTTTACTATAGCCCTAACATATCTTGAAAATTTCATGCAATTTCAATAGATCTGATTCAAGATCAATTTTTAAGAGATGACCGTAAAAGAAAAACTTTGTTTTTTTGAAATGTTTTACTTGTTTCATTTAATTTCATTTCATTTGAATCAAATTGTTTTGCCCAATTTTTTGATCCATGTTGAAATTCATGATCAAGTCTAATATTATCCAATGCATCATTAATATGTTTTATATGATTTGATATTTCTTGTGTATAATAATGACAACCGGATGTTAGAATTTGATTAAAATTAGATTGAAGACGTTTTATATCTTTTTCTAAGACTTGATTTTGTTGTGACATAAATATATGTGTAGAAATGTTTTATTAAAATGACAAAATAATATGATGAATGAAAAAGAAAAAAATCAATCACAGACATTTTATTTACGTGTCACCTGGCAACAGACCTTAAAATGAATGTAGAAAAAAATATGTCAAACTTACTAATCTTAAGCTAGATATCGTGATGGATAAGCCAGATTGGATTAAATTGAAAATTTTTGTTTGTTATTGAAGTTAATTGAGAATTCTTTTAACCCTTTTTTTTTTTATTTAGTATAAAATTTTTCGAGATAAAAATTTTAGATGTTCTATAAAAATTGTTCGTTTTATTGTTTAAATTTCGTTTTGTACCATTTTTTTAACAATATTTCTTTTGTCAATTAATCTGATGTGTAGAGAAATAGTTTTATTTCAATCGAATATCATCGAGACTTCATCATTTTTTTTTATTTGTTTAGGAAAAGTAGAAATTTCTAAGGTAAAAATATATGAAAAGAATTTGATCAGCAATACTTACGGAATACCGGAAAACTCTTTTGCAACTTTCTGGACTTTAGAAAAAAAAAAATCTTCATCGAATAAAAAAATGTTATCTAGTTATTGGTCAGTTCCGAATATGTCATAATGTGAGGACTGAGTATTATTACCAGATTCAAAACAAACAAACTTATCTACTTATGTTGTAGTATCATTGATTTTGTCATAATTGGTATTCGTAGTTGGAAAACTACATTAAATTTCGAAAGACATTGTCAGAACTTATATATTCTGAATGACAATTAGTCGTATCTTTGACAGAAGCATGGCTCCTATTTCACTTCCCATGGGTCTTGATACCTAAAAATTGTAACAGACAGAAACTACAGAATGAGAAAAAAATTATAGAAGATTATAGGAAATTTTGAAAACAATTACTATTTATTCACGTGTAAGACTTTGTGCTCAATTCGAAAAGTTCATTAAACATTTGTATATATACTTATACCTAACGTTTCCTGTTCTTGAATAGATTGTTAGTTATTTTCTGAACCTCTCTGAATTGTTTCTTCATAAAGATAAGTTATGAAAAAAAAAACATTGCAGTGTTCTCGACAAATTTCTTTTTGTGTACAGCTGAAATTTTCAGCGTACACTGAATAATAAGACAAGCTATCTGTGAAATAAATAATAGACCAAAGGATACTAGTGAGGAGAATTAATCGAAAAAATTAGATGTCATTTATTCTTGACTAAGCGAATAAATATATTGTTTTTTCATAAGGTTACAGTTCCTTGTTGAAGTCAGTTGTGATACTTTAAAACAGTTTTTGACAATGTTTCACTTATGAATATGATCTATGAACACTCATCTATCAGTAGTAAAAATATCAGCTGATTTGGTCAAAATATAGTGGAGATATTCGCTTTTCTTTTTCTTGTTTCGTGATTTGCTGGACACCCTATATAACGACTATCACCTTCGATCATGGACATGTATTAACAGTAGGTAGTAATAATTCATAAACCAAAATCTATGTCAATAAATGTCTTCTTTTACGATGTCAGCAACTCCATCGTGTCTCACATCTTAATCCTGTCGGAATTACGCTAATAGCTTGTATTTTACAGTCAAAGAAAATAAACGTACATTATTGAGATGGACAAGTTTCAAACGAGAAATCTTTTCGATACATTGAGAAAGAAAAGTATATTCAAAAATTTTCAATTAATTTTATGTTTATTTTAATAAACAATGTATAGAAATGCTAAATTCAATTGTTAGTTATAATTAAAAATGACAAGATATTTTATTCAAAATATAGAGAAAGATTCAAAGGGTAAAAATCTTTGACTATATCATAAATTAACTAAATCATCAGTTTATAAGTTAAATGTTGAATAAGAAATGAAAATATATTGATATCTAATAATGTATTTATATGTACACTTGCTCGATTTTGTTAGAATAATTTCTTTTTGTAAATTTTACTATTATAAGATATTGATTTCTTTTTTGAAATGAGTATTATCATTAATTGAATTTATTCTTTCTTCTGCATAGTAGTAGTAGTAGCCATTTTTAAGAGATAAAATCAACTTGAAATATATTTATTATTTGACAATTTGTAAAATAATATGATTTTTAATCATTAATTTAATTAACATTTGACATTTCTTATTCCATATTTGTTCATCAATGTCATTACTACGAGAGATATCAAGAGTTATTTTTTTCAAATTTGGTAATGATTGAATAAACATTATCCATTCTCGATGATTTAAATAGTCGAAATTTTGAACTGGACTACGACATATAATCTTAAGTTCTTGTACATAAGGTATTATACGTAATATAAAATTTGTAAATTGTACAAAAGAAACAATAAATTCATGAATATTTAAAGTAAAACTAGAGATTGAATTTGTACAAGATATATTATCTGTATTTTTTGTAGAAATAAAATTAATTTGATTAGTTATTATATGTAAAGATTGTAAATATGGTAAATATTGTAATAAAATAATAAGTCGATCGATAAAAAAATTTTCATTGAGTCCAATTAGTTTTAAATTTTTAATTGGACTTTTTGATGAAATTCTTAATTGAATTGGAGACATACTCATTCTTAAACCAAGATGTAATGTTTGTAAATTTGATAGAGATAGAATTATTTCAAGTAATTGATGCATCATTATTTTATCACCAGATACAATTGAACTAATATTCAAGTATCGAAGATAAGTAGAATTTTGTTGAAATAGATTAAGAAAATCTTTCGTAATATGCAAACGATGAAGAAAAAGTGTAGCAACACGAGGAAAATATAATAATTTTTCATTATTAATAAGGTCAACCTAAATTTTAATAAATATTTTAAAAACAACGAATACTTGTAAAAAACTGCGGACATCGCTAAAGCTGCAAAAAAGCATAGAATTTGAAACAAATATCATACAGATATCCATTAGGAAGTTGTGAGTTCTTCCAGATCCGGGTCTACAATAACGTGGACCTACAACTCCCTAACATTCATTCTAGGCTGCACTTTTTTGTTTTCCACTAGAATATAACCGTTCTTGTAGATACAGACATACATGGTTATCTTGGTTTGAATTGTAAAAGATAAAGATAGACATCTTGATATTTATTTGTAAAATATCTCGTAGAATTAAAATTTAAAGTAACTATGTAGGTCTACGGAATAGAGCCTGTCAATGGATGTGCTAATTACTGGATTCAAAAAAACGAAGAAAGGTATTCCGGATCTTCGAGGAGACTATCCAATTTCGATTAGAAAGTTTCATTGCGAGTATCAAAGTGCAGTTCAAAATGGATGTCTTTATGATATTCGTTTCGAATTCTATCTTTTTTTTTTTTACAGCTTTGGCAATGTTCGTGAGTATCTACAGTTTCTACAGGTACCCAGAAAAAAAAGTTAAAAGATTTTACTATTGTGATGGTGATATGAAAGAGTTTTTCTTTTTCAGATAATCATATTTACTTTATTTGTATTTTCCAATCGTAAGCCGGTGACATTTTCTCGATGTATTAAATATGGTGAAACATATTTTAGTATATATTGAGTATCTTCATCATTATTTTTCAAAGTAATATGAGGTTGATAAGATAATAGAATTTGATTAAGTCTTTTATTTAAATTAAGAAAAGTATTAAATTGATGACGAATTTTTAAATAAGTAAATATTTCTAACCAAAGTTCAATAGATAAATCTTCAATTTTACTATACATGATGAAAGCAAACAATAAAAATAATTATTATTCTCTACTATTGAAATTACAGTACATATTATATACACAATGAAGAAAGAATGAAACATCTTGATGCAATGACATGATTCATTAGAAAAACAAAATAGTTATTGCGAAATTATATTTGATAAAAATTTAGAAATATGTTATTAATGCTTCAGATTTCTAATATCGATAAAATACGTTTAATAGTTTGTTCAATTTCAATAACATGACTATGAGTAGATGAAAATGTTTCACGAAAAATAACAGCTGCTTTCTCATAATATTCTAGAGCTTTTTTAAATGATTGTTTTTGTTCATAAACAAGTCCAATATTTTCTAATGTTGATGCTAATGATGAATGATAAGATGGAAGAGATTTTATTTTTATTTTCAATGAATATTCATAATTTTCTAATGCTAAATCATATTCTTGAAGACAAAAATAAATATTTCCAATATTATTATATGATGCACCGAAATCAGGATGATCTTTTGGTAAATATTTTTTACGAATTGATAAAGCTTTTTGATGATATTCTAAAGCTTTAGAATAATTTTGTTCTTTTTCATAAAGACAACCCATATTATTTAAACAATCAGCTATTTGATAATAATTTTTTTCTTTTGTATTTTCCCAAATATTTAAAGCTTTATTATAAAATTCTAAAGCATTTTTAAAATATTCTTTTTTTTGATAAATACAACCAATACAATTATAACTATCAGCTAAATGTGGATCATTTGATTTTAAAATTTTTATTGATTTATTATGCCAATTTAGACTTAAATCATAATTATCTTTAATTAAAGCTAATACTCCAAGTGAATAATAACATTTTGAAATATCATCATGATTATTTGGTAAATCATTAAGTAATCGATGAAAATATTTTTCTGCTAAATCATATTTACCCATTTGATATAAAATATTTCCAAATGAAAGAAGACTTGTTTCATTATTAATACCACTATATTCATTTTTAATATTATTAAATAATTGTTTTATATTTTCATCATTATGATTTGATAAAATCATTTGAATAATCCAAAGTCCATTTTTTTCTTGTTTTATATTTATTAAACGAAATATTGAACCAAACATAAATAATATTTCTTGTTCATTTGTATAAAAACTTTTTGATGTTATATTTGCAAATGATTTTAAATGATCTATATGAGGATTAACATCGATTTCAAATAGAACTTTTTGTAAATTATGTGAAAAAATATATTCATTTAAAAATTTTATTGCTTGTTGTCGATTAAGACTTGTAGAAAAAAATGAATTTATTGAAATATATTCACCAAGTGACATTTTTAATTGATTTAATTCATCAATTGATATTAATTGTCCACGATAAACATGTATTGATGATGAACATTGAGATAATTTTAATTGTTTTTCAATATCACAAATAAAAAATCGAAAAAGAAATAATAAATCAATATTTTGAATACGTAATGCTTTGTTTAATAAACGATAAATAAATGAATCTCGTGTATACCACCATAATGCTTGATTTGATGAATAATTTTTTTCAAATTCTTTAACAAGATTTAATTCTTTTGAATTATTTTTATAGAATTTTTTACATAGACTTATAAATTCATTTTTATCAGTTATATTTGGTTTCATTCGTAGTAGACAATCCATTAATAATTGAGAATGAAGAAATTCACCATTTAATTCTTTAGTAGATTTATCTGTGATATTATTAAATTTTGATATATTGATTATAAATGGTTCATCAACTTTATTTTCAATGCGTTTTGAATGATCTAATTGAATTTGATTTAATAAGTCATTTAATTCAGTAATTACACTTCTTATCTAATAGAAAATACAAAAAGAAATCAATAGTTTGAACATAATAAAATATTATTTTTTTACTCAATGATGTTTTCAACATTATTATAAAATATGATCATGTTCAAAATATTTTAAGAAATAAAATGATTTCTAATCGTACAAATCACAAGAATCTTTATCATCAATTAAGAATTTTCTATAATTCATATTAGTTTCGAAAGCTATGTTGTGTTTTTCTTACAAGAGAAGCCCTCTAATTGATAAATCGCTTTTGAGTCGAGATTATGTTCATTATGTAGATCCTAATGAATCATGAATACTCTGAAAAAAGTTCGTACTCTTAACTTATTGCTGTGAAGATATTGCAACTTTATGATATTGTAAATGAATGTTGTGGTGTTCATCAGGGGATACCAGAAAAAATTGATTTTCAAATTTCGAATTTCCACTTGAAACTTTCCATAGAAACAGATCATAACGAAAATAGTTTTTTGTGAATGTTTCAGATTTTATCGCTGCGCTTAACCTAAAATACAACTGTGGTATTAGCATACCTTTTACATCACTTATATCGTTAAAAGACCTGCAACTTTCACAATAACCTATTCTCGTTAATGTCTGTCTCTATGCAAAGTTTCAAGTGTAAATTCGAAAATGAGGGAATCACGGTATTCATTAAAAAAATACTGTTAGAGTTCAGTATCTTCGAGCAATAAGTTAAGGGTGTTAATTTTTTTCAGAATATTCATAACTCATTTGGATCTACGTAATGCACATAGTCTCGACTCAAAAGTGATTTAACCGTTGGAAGACTTACGTCTTTAGAAAAAAAAAGTATTTCTAACATTCTAGACTAATTTATATTTTTCGGACTCAGTTTACTTTCCTTGAAGTAAAATCATTGATGATTGATGATGTATAAGACCTTACCAGAAATAATCGAAAACCGATTTCATTTATTGGATCCATAACCTTAGATTACAGCTATAAAAGAATCTCTTATATATTCACGATGCATATCTTTTTCAGTTTGAAAAAGATTGAAGAAAAGGATTTTTCATAATAGGAGAGTATGTCCTTTGTAGAACATATGCTGTCCAATTATGACTACTCTTTGAGAGTATAAATCTATGAAGTCACAATGTGCATTTATGAGTCCGATATTTGAATAGAAGGGATGGCATATAAATTCATTTTGATAGAAATCTTAAGAATGAAACGATTATGATTTTTTTTAAATAAAAAGCTTGTTAGCACAGCTCCTTCGGAGTTGAAATGTGGAACTCACATATATCCTTAAACCTTAATATTCTAATGCATCATATGTAAACTGAAAATTTTCTCGCCGACTGTAGTTGTTTTTACTGATAATCGATGACAAGAGCGAGAATTTCTTATTTATTTATACATTTAAAATAGAGATTTTTTATTTTTTTCTGCGAGCGCCCTATTTTTGTTTGCATTGCTACTATTCGCTCGTTATTTTTCATTTTTTTTTATTCGTGTTTTTTTAATTTAATAGTCTTATTATTATAATCATTGAATTGGCAAATAAGTCTATTTTACATATTCATGATATCTATGGCAGATTTTATGCACTATTATATATATTAATCAACTCACAAACAATGATGTTGAGTAATCTTCAAAATTATAGCTTGAGCAATTTTTCAAAAAAGCTCTAGAAAATCTGACACCTTTCATTCTCGGTTGCTAAAGTCTGTAAGGGGAGGGGGGGGGGGGAGCCGTCAAACCTCGAACTTAAAACTTACACTCACTATTTTCTTCGAAAATATACGTGAGTTCCACAAAACCAATATTTGTAACAGATATATAATCAACCTATTCTTCCAACGAATACCAGAGAGAAACGCTGGTCGAGTTCAAAAGTTTTGACCTTGAACTGGAACTGTACTCTTTGTACTCTCAATGAAATTTTCTAATCCGAATCAGATAGTTTTTCCATTATTTCTATTCAATGAATATCACACTCTACACATTTCTCAAGTAATCTTGACGATGATATTATAAGAATCAAGTTACAATTGAATCATACTTTTAGAATCTCAAGCGTTGGATCAATTTCTGATGTGGATCCGGATCCGATAGGTTCTGCCATAGGAATCATATGTTCTTTCATATAGAAGAAGATTTACAATTACAACGAACGAGGATGGCATTTAATGCAATGCATACTTATAAGAAAGTGTTAAATTAATAAATTTGAATATCCGTTTGGAAATTATTCTGGAAAAGATCATTATCGGTAAATGAAATAATCCTTGCTCTATTAAAATCTATATTGAGAATTGATTCCTATGATATTTCATCTAATCAATTGATTTACTTCTCACAAATTACCTTATGAAAATGTTTTGCCCATTCTTCATTTTTTGCTTTATTCATACAATAAACATAAATTGAAAAAATTTGTCGATAATGATGAATTCGTGGTACTATTTCTTGTCCTAATTGACCACTAACAATAAGAAGAATTCGATCATCTTTGGAAATTTGATTTATATATTTTTCACAATCTTGAATATTTTGAAATATTTTAAGATGATTTATAATTGATTGAATTTGTTGTTGAGCATCAATATTGTGTTGTAATTGATTTACTTCTGCATCAAGCCAAATCATATAGACACTTTCAAGATTATTTTCTTGTATAATTGGTATTGTTGCCATCAGTGTATTTTTTGTATCGTCATATATATTCTTACATTTCTTCAATAAATACCTTGTGTTTTTATTCTGATTTCTTTCGTCACGTGCACGACTTTTGTCGAAAAATCATCAGAACGGTAAGAGAAAAGTTTCGTATGTCATGCATTTATTTGCTCAAATTAAAGTAACCATACATAATAATATATTGAGTTACGAAGATCATTGAAAATCACAATTGAAACATTTTATTATTAAGAAAATAGGAGCAAGATGAGAACGAAATTTAACGATCATAGAATCTATAAACATACGTTTGTTCCTTCCAATACTGAGACTTGTGTTAGATCAATGACTTTCCTGTCTTGGTAGCAAACCTCAACATAAACTGTTTGAATTTTATTTGCTTCTTTTTTCAAGATAGATTTATGCATCTTGCAATAAAGAATTTCTTTCGTGTGCTAATGCTTCTTATTCATATGCAAAACAGAATGAAATATCAATGGGACTGAATGGTATGAATATTACCTATGTAAAATGCTATTAGCAATAGATAAACATTAAAAATGTAAACTGCAAATAGTAATCTTTCTAAGTCTTTAAAACTGATCCGTAAAAATCTACCTTAAGAGATTCTTATTAATGAATGATAGTCTTCATAAAAGTCGAGTACAAGGCAAATACATCTTGCTTTTTCGATTCAATAAGAAATTTTTCTTATCTCTCATGCTGTTGTTACAAGCATAGGAATTGTCTGATATTATTAAACTAGTGATCATCATGATAATAAACTTTTTACAATACCATAAAAACTTATCAAAGTAATTGTTAAGTTTTATTGTGAAGAACTCTTTTCTGTAAAAAGAAATATACTTATAATTAGTAACGTTTCAAGTTGAGCCTTAGAAAATAAGCTCGATTTCGAGGCCAGCTCGGCACTTTGTTTCTTTTTGTACTAGTGCGTATTGTGTGCAATAAAAAGATGCTCTTTCTGTTTAAATATTGTTTTTCTTTCGCTAATAATTATAAACTCTTCGTTTGATAATGGATTTCCATGAATGAACAATTACTTTACAAATCATATAATATGGTTCTTTGCAAATTCCAAATTTTCGTATAAACTATTCAAAAATAATATTATTCGAATTGACACGAGACACAACGAATGTTTTGTTCAATATCAGTAATGTATTAATGAACAATAGGAAATGTCTGTCGATAGATGTTAACTGTTTTTTTCCTCAATACGATAAAGATTGTTGTAATCTGTCTTGCTTTACATAGATAAGGCTAATATTCTGGAAAGCGTATCGAATTCGTTGACGTTGAGAAGGAAGAGATTTTTAAAAAATCTCGAAAGAAAGATTTGCATGGTCCAACGAGAGTTCATAGTTTCTAAGATATCGATGAGTAATAGCGATATTGATCTGGATAAGCCCGAATCACTGTGATACCTTAAAAGATGTCTCTCATTAATATTCAAGGCTTTTCAATGATATTCAAGTACGTTTGAAAGGTTTTTTATTTCTATGATAAACATTTCCAATAACACTGTAACATTTGGCTACTTCTATCAAATGATCGTCGAGCGACTTTGTCTAAACTTCTAATATCTCTTTTCAAACATTTTGATTGTTTGATCTAATTCTTCCTTGTTTTTTTTTATAAGTGTTTCCAAGACTATAACATTGAGCGACTCGCAAATGATTTGATATTCAAGTTTATAATTTTATCTCAAGAGAGTTATTAATTTCGAATTCAAATCATCTTTTTTGATTGCGACAATGTCAATGAAATAATAACAACGAGCAATATATTTATGATTAGGCGATAGTTTTTCGAGAAAAAGATAATAATCTATGATGCGAATGTTCTGCCACAAAATATTCATTCATTTTCTGACCATTTAAAGACAACTGATTAGAGTCAGAAGTCATTAGTTAGGATCAGACTTTTTCGCTCTTTGATAATATGTGTTCAGAATTTCCTTCTGTGTTAAGATTGAACAACTACCATCAGATTGCTTCAAACGACCAAAAATAGAAGTTCTACAGGATACTGTTTTGGTCAACTTTGGATTATCATTGAAATCTATCAAATTCAAAATGTGAAACAGGTTTTAATGGCTTAAGTTTGCAGAGAAAAGTTTGCTCTACGAAACGACTATTTACTTTTCTATTCTATCATATACAGCAGATTTTTTTAAGTTTTATATTTTCAAAAAGCAGTTTTTGAAACATCCTTTCCTTGACAACTAGCGATCTCCATAGAAACTGGTTCTTTAATGGAAACGTAAGTGTTAGCCACACTTTGCGGTGCAACTACAGAGACTCAAGTAACGAGGTAATGAGTAAGGAAGTAATTCAAGACAATGGTATCTCCACTTTTATCTCGTTCAATCGTAATCTTAACATGCCACCTCGGCTGTGAGTACGCGTGTAGGATGTGAGTGTCGGAGCGGGGCAAATAGAATAAATACATTCACGCCCATCCTTAGCATCAATAGATGGTCCATTTTATGCTTCATATTTCTACGATCTTTTCAAGGTTCACTATACTTTTTCTCAGAAGAAAAGTGCGTGGACCTAACACCTAGCAATATTTTTGGATGCATTTGAAACATTCATATTTTCAGAAGCCAGACTCACTCCATGAGTTATTTATAAAGTCTAGTAGCTTTTATTACCAAAATGATCAGCACAAAAACTCTAGAATCTCTGAAACTTTCACGAAATTCGAAGACGGTTGTCGTGACGGTGGAAGAAACCTGATGGAATTACCATACTTCGTTGTCTTTCTATATATTCTTTCTTGTTTTTATACCATTTTGTAGCGTTGGAAAAGTTCTTTTTCTTTATTCTATTTTGTCCTTAAGTTTAACCCTTGGTTTCGTTTACTGTTATATATATATATGTGCAGACTTCAGATATAGATATGTACGTGTGTGTGAGGACATTGTTGATTTTGAAACAAAATAAAAAAATATCGAACACCAGGTCTCTAATAACATGACAATTAAAGGTAGAAGAAAGCGATCTTCTGGAGGAGGCTAATTTCACAAGCTGTGGGATCCCTTTCTTGATATTCTAATTAGTTATAATTGCGCCCAAATTGTCTATTGAAACTTTTCAAACGATAGTTGAATATGTATATTTATGTATAATTATTGTAAAAAGAATATTCAGTGATAACATTCAATAAATGTTGTCGCCAATACTAATAGAATATTTGGTAATATTTTCTTTCATCGATTCAAATAAGACAGTACTATAAAAAGAGAAGCAAACGATCTGTCAATACTACATATTGACGAGAAACTCACCAAGAGTCTCCACTTCACTCGGTGTTATGCATCTTCTCGGAACTTTTGTTGTGGTAAGTCATTTGAATACGGTTCGAACATCAAACTGTTAAAGATAAAATGTTTGCCTATAGCTCTGTGCTATTTTGG